AAGTTGCAAAATTGAGTAACAGTGGTACTAACACGTAGCTTATGAAATTACGAAGCTAATGCAATTTGAACGGATCAATTCGAGCTAAAACGTAATTTTATGAGCAAAACAATTCTAGTGGCATTTACAGAAATCCGAAAACGTATTTTGAACTAAAATGATGAAATTTACGCTTTCCAAACAAGAGAGCGTACTCGGGAAATGCGCTAAGGACGGCGGGTTCGATTACATGAAAACAGAGGGTCTCTTTAGCAAAGTTACACGCGAAAGGGTATCGGCCAACGGTGGCCGTTGGATCAAGATCGGATGGTCTAGAAACAGATGGGAGGAGAGAGAAAGGCCGGCGCGGAACAGGGGCAGCAGCAAGCGGGCGCCATTGCCGGGCGGCATGGAGGTCGCCGGAGTGAGTGGTCTGGGGCTAGGGCCACGGTTCAATAACCGAGGGCACCGGGAGTTGCGGGGTGAAGGGGAACTCGCCAAGGCCAAGAGCTCAGTGGTGGCGCCATGGCAGCGGCAAGGAGGTTGACGGCGCTCATGATTGGGCGCTAGAAGCCATGAAACTCGAAATAAACCGCATGGGGAGAAAGAGGGAGCACGGCAAAGCTCACAGCCGGGGAAAATCGAGTCGTTAGCGGCTCGAAGATGGTTGTCCGCGCGAGGGAGGAGGCGGAGAGAGACGGCAGACGCAGACGGGCGAGGTCGGAGATCGGCGGGGCTCCTCCGTCTGTGCGCTTCCGCCGACGGGCGAAAACGGAGCGGAGGCCGGGGCGCGCGAGGGGGGGCTCGGCTGCCTTTTAACGAGGCCGAGGCAACGGGAGGACTCCTCCAAGCAGCGCAGCTTGCTTGAGCGGGCGGTTGCCGAAGGAAGGGGCGGAGCTGATGCGTGGGTCCGGCGGATAAGGGAAGGAGGAGGGCACGGCGGCAGTTGCCAGGCCGACGCGGAGCGCGCGGCTGCTGGGCTGGGCTGAGCGCTGTGGCGTGGCTGGGCGGAAGGGGAGGAAATCAATCAGCTGGGCTGGCTGGTGGGGGCTGGAAAGAAAGGCTCATGGGCGAAACCGAGGAAGGGAGGGATGGAAGGAAATTTTTTCTTTTTCCAAACAAATTTTCCAAAAGCATTTTAAATACAAATTTCAATTAGATTTTGAACTCATTTGGAATTCGAATCAAAACCATTCATCTCAAAATAAATATGCAACAGCATGTATGCATCACTTGCAGCTAACCTTATATTTGATTTTAGTTTTCGCAAAAATTATTTATTTCCTATATTTCAATGCTCACCAAAATTGCTTAAATAAATCAATTTGGTTATTTTTAGAAAATGCAAATTTAGGGTGTTACAATGAGGATGAGGACGGGCACAGTAAAGAGACGGAGAGTAAATGAATGAACGAAGGCTCCAGACCACAGAACATAACAGTAGCTAAAATGAAATCTGGACGTCGAAAAGGTGATCCAACGGAGCAATTTTTTTCACTGACGTGGATAGCCTGAGAGGCGGCCAAAGTCTCATGCTTTGATATATTAGATTAGATAGGTAAGGGAAACCTAGGTGAAATCTGATGGCCCAGATTTATTCAGCTGGATACGGCTTCACCAAATCGAAATGGGGAGTGATATTAGTTAAACAATACCGTCTGTATGAGCTCCACACAACTACGGGCTCTGGTCGTACATATAGATTATGGTTTGAAAAGTCAAAAGTTTCTTCTCTTATTATTGGTCTGTTCGATCACCTACTAATTTTATAAAATAAATTCATGGTGTTACATTTCCAATTTCCAATCTCCTATTTTTTTTTACTTCAGCATCTTTGGCTTTGCTTTAGCAAACCAATTTGAACCCAATCAGACAAGAGAATCCTCTTTTTGTTACCCCGAGGTTAGAAGTACTACATGTAGACTCTGCTTTTTAATGGAAGGCTTTGGATTTTCTTTACTAACACCTCTAGACTTGATTTTGCTAGATAGATTCAGCTTGAGATGGCAAAATTAGGATTTTGCTGTCTTGGCTAACAACATAAGAAGCTAGTCTATCATCACAAGGTTTGACAACTACTAACACGGCATGAGTTGGTTTTTGTGCTAAATTACCTTCTTCACCAAATGACTTGTTAAAGATTTATCGTACAACAACCGCACTAGCACAGAAACGATTAGCTGAGGTGGTCAAAAATCATTTACAGAGGCGGGTAGCTTGGCCACCTCTATCCTAGAGTCATTATTAATCATGGTTAATAGATGTGGACAGGCTATTCGTCGCATCAATTAAAAAATAAAAAGGCATTCGAGCCCAACACTGAGCCCATATAGAGCCCGCCGTGGAGCCCAACCAAGCACGTTATCGAGCTGCTACCCGCCATTTCCTAGATCCTTTGTCACCACCATCCTCACCCAGGCACACTATGGTTGTCGAGCTGGTGTGTGGCATTGCCTAGATCCACAATCATGACAGGCCTAGCACCGCATTTCCCGCAAGATCCTCGCCCCACTAGCTCCACACACACCACCAGGAACTGCCCACGCACGCTGCCGGGAGCCGCCCTCCTCACAATGTGGATTTGCGAGGAGAGTGAGGTTGAGGGAGATACTGAGTAGACAGGAGGGATAAAGGAGATGGAGACATATCTCACTGGTAGCACCGCTGCCTCCCCGACAACACCCATGGCCGGATCCGAGCCCGAGCAAGCTTCGTCTACTTCGTCCTTGGCCAGATTGAGTCCGGGCGGGCCTCCTCCGCGGTGCCAGGATTGGGATCTCCGCCAGGTAGGGGCTCCGTCCCTCCAGGATCGAGATCTCCACCAGTAAGGGGCATTGTCCTCCTCCACGCCGCTGGGATCGAGCTCTCTGCCAGAAAGGGGTGTGGTCCTCCTCCGTGTAACTAGGATAGAGCCGGAGTGCACCATCGTCAGAAGAGAGAACGTAAGAGATGAAGTATGGAGAGAGAAAGAGAGAATGCGGGCGGCGGGCAACTAGGGTTTCCTCAGTTTATGTATTGTCAACTTGATACCAGTCCGAGATGGCCCATGCAGATTGGTAACGAGTTGGACCTATTAACAGGGACAAATAATCAGTTTATAGAGATGGCTTTATTAAATTTCCTCCTAATATGAGTTAGTTGTCTCTGAAATTGATTAGAGATTCTAGGAGACACCAAAATCTTTAGCCCGCCTCTGAAAATAAAATGCCCTATCTTCCAAAATCATTTTCATAGTAGTGAACCATAGCTTCAAGCTCCAATTTTGTTTTGTCGTCAATGACAGGACAAGTAGTGCTAATAAGAGAATTAGTTGCTTTGTACTGGGAATTGGCAGGACTCATGATGTTGTTCATGGGCATATAAATTTGTTGGGGGTGCCGATGCATGAGTGTCCTGATGCATGTTGCAGTATCAAGAAACTTCGGGAGATAAACACTATTTAGCTTGTGCTGTTTTATTTTATTTTATTTCAGATGCAAAATTTGGATATGTAGAACAACGTTCTAAATAATCTCTAGCTGATCAAATGTTTTCCTCAAAAGATCTAGTAGAGAAACATATGTATTCATTGCAACCACAAAGGTAGATTGCAAATCTATACCTCACCTGTAGATCCAAATCCTTGACGTTGAATACTTCGTAGCAATAACAATGTAATGGACCACCGAATCATTTCCTAGCAGAGTGGCAAAAAAGTGTGTATCTTGACGCAAATCTGGTCCCACACCCAATGAGCTAGTGCATTCAAATCGCATTTATATCGCTTGGATCGCTCAAGAATCAGTTTACAGTGAACACAGGACCATCGGACCATCTGGTGGCTTTGTAGTAGCTGAAGTAGCCGTTGTAGAAATATATGCCTCGCCAAACGACACGGTACGTTGTTTTGCCCTTTGCCAAACCGTACGGTGCACTGATATGCATCGTGACCAAGCTTCTATATATACACCATCGGGTGATCCGCTGATGGCTTTCTTCATGTCACTGGATCATTCGGTGTGTGGTTTCATATAGTGCCATGTCTGTGGACATTGCCGGACAATCCGCCGTGTCATCTACTATCAGTTTCTGTCCGAGGAATGATCTAGTGAGAAATATTTCCTCAGACACCTCTACTGTCAATTTCTCTGGTCCAGATGAATTGCCCGACATTTTCAACTACACAGTACCACAAACCGTCTAGTGAGTGCATCTGCATAGTGCCATAGACTGACTTAATTAGGATGCTCGCCACTGTAAATGATTAATAGACGAGCGTTTGTCTAGAGGTCACCTGAACCATTTAAAAAGACAGTCTCTAGGCCTTTGTTAATCAGAGGGGTTATCTTCTAAAATTGTTTTCGATCATGTATAGGGCACATGATCAATACAATATTGTTTTACCATATCTATCAAATTCTATAACAACACATTATGGTGTCCACTACTGTGAGTTGTTGGCTCAATTTTCCATATTATTTGTCTTTAGTTCATCAAATGGGTAAGTTATTATTATATATACATGTTGAACCTCATGTCTCATTTTGCTGCCAATTCCAGTAAGGGCTCGTTCGGTTAGCAGTGAATCCTGCCCTGGATTCATTCCTACTTGGATTGGTTGTCAAATTTATATAAGTTTTGAGTAGTTGGAATAATTCCTGGTGCATTCCTGATCAACCGAACGCACCCTAAGGGGGCATTCGGTTAGCCCATTCCCAGCCTGGAACTGCCAGGAATGATTTCCACACTATATAAATTAATGAAGGAACTGTGTGGCTGGGAATTATTCTCAGGTAACCGAACAAAGTCTAACTCAGATCAAAACCATGCACACCTTCAGCCATCCAAAGTCATGGTCATATTATGATGATTTAATATTTAGTGTTGGTCTATAGAAAACATACGGACATATATTTATAACTAGATAATCAAAATAAAAGCAAAATAGGAAAAAAAGCAAGACATATTGTAAGTACTTATTAATCTCCTTTTATATATAGTGTGCCAGCTGGGTACCCAATTGCACACATCTCTTCCTAGTCCTAGTTATAATTGGGAGAGATGTCTTTCTCTCTCCCCTGAAACTGAATACCCTTGTACATCATGGAAAATATTGCAAAGAAAATGAAGTCTATGACTGAGAGCACAACGAGGAGCAGGAAGAACCGTTCAAGGTGGCCATAATTAAGATTTTTTGTGATCCACCCATTCTTGTTTCGCCGATTGGTGATGCTAGTGACTGCACTGACCATCAGCATGCTGGCATAGTTCCCTAGTGATATGGAAGCCATGCACAGAGAGCTCCCAAAGCATTTCATGCTGTCCGGGGTCTGCTCGTTGAAGAAATCCAGCTGTCCTATGTACATGAAGACTTCTGAAGCACCAATGAGCATATATTGTGGAGCTTGCCAAAGGACACTCATGGGGCTCGGCTGGTCCTTTGCCTCAACACGACGCAGTCGGTAGACCTCAACAATAGCTGCAGCAAGCATGCCAATTAGCGCGATGACCAGACCAGTCCCCATGCGCTGGAGCTCAGTGATTCCGGCGGGATTCTTTGTGAACCTTGACGCCATGGGCACAAAGAAGAAGTTGTAGGCAAAGACGGAGAGGATCACGCTGGTGATGTCAAACATCGACATGCTTGCTGCAGGCATGTGGAAATTGCCAAAGAGGTTGGTGTCCATGGCTGTGCCTTGCTCCACGAATGTGGACGCCATTTGTGTGAACTCCACCGAGAAGATGATGGTGCACATCCATATGGGGATCAAGCTCAGGATGCACTTCACCTCCTCCACTTGCGTCACGGTGCACAACCTCCACGGGTTCTTGGCTTTACCAGCGTGGTAGTCCTCCTCGGTAACTATGGCCGCCTTATCAAGACACCTACAAATAATGCCATGTACATACAAGTATATATGAACATGCTAGACAAGTAGACATTGTTCAACCGTTCAAAACTATAATTCTTATTGCAAAGCTTAATTACATAGTTCATATATACATACCTGAGTTGATCGCTGTGAAGGAGTTTGCGGATGCCCGCCTGAGTCTCTGAATCCTCACCTTCAACCTCATGGAGGTCCTCGCCAGGTGGTGGCTGCAAGTGGCGCTTGCAGAACGCAGCGACGAACACCTGCGCCATGCGTGTCAGCGGGTTGCCAGATGGTTTGCAATGGCGGTAGTACGGTGTGCCAAGCAGAAAGAGCAGAAGCCCGAGCGCGACAGCGACGGTGGAGACCCAGAAGCCCATGACCCACATGCCCTTGTCCTCGTAGAACGCCAAGAAGGAGTCGGAGAAGAGGGAGCCGATGTTGAGCGCCAGGTAGAAGTAGCTGAAGAAGGCGAGTTTGGAGCGTCGCTCCATGGTGTTCGAGTCATCAAACTGGTCCGCTCCCAACGTCGCTACCGATGGCTGATACCCGCCGATCCCAAATGCAGTCGTGAATGTTGAGATATAGAACATCACAACGCCGAGCTGCGATGGCGGCTGGCATGGCCTCTGCCGTTGGTTGTCGCCACATCTTGAGGGCTCCACCAACCAGAATAACGAGGAAAACGATAGCAGTACCAGCCCCTACATGACACAGGACAGAGTAATTATTATCAGTGTTCACCAAGTGTTAATCAGTGCAATTAGAATATATGAGTGTACATTCTTACGATGAGAAAGATGATCTGAAACATGACGCAGGTGAGGTAACGGCCCATGTAGGCGTCGCTGAGGAAAGCACCAAACAGAGAGAAGATGTAGACCGTGCCGGTCCACATACTGATGAAGCTGGCAGCTGTGGCATTCTCTTGATGGAGCACCCTTCGCATGAAAACAACCAGGTCCACAGCCACCCCATAGAATGCTAAGTTCATAAGCGCGTAGCTCACTGAATCAAAAAGAAACAAACCAGTTCCTTTGTTAGTGAGGTATGGAAACCAAGCTTTGTTACATGTAGTAAAGCATATATAAGGAAAGAGAGTATTGTTGCTCCATCTGTACCAAAAAATTTGATATTTTATATTGTTATAGGCAACCAAGCTTTGTTACATATAGTAATAAGCATGTGTTTATTTATTTTCATGTGATTCAAGCTATCAAAAGATAGCATGCCTTGGCAAGCTGTAGCTGTTCAGACAAAACTAAGATAATGCAAGGAGAAGGCTGAATAAAAAAGGTTTACCAAGCAGTATGGCGGCGGTTTTCCTTCCCCCTGTGGTGGCTCTAACTGCAGGGTTTCCCCTGAAGTCAACGGTTCCATCTTCTGTGTATACTGACGGTGTTGTGTTCTCAGTCTCACTCAACGCAGGACTTGAGCTGGAGAATTCCCCTTGCAGAGGCTTTAAACATAGTTCGGGAAGTCAGTGAGACTATATGTTACATTTAAAAATATACTAAGTAACGTTTCAATAATGGTTTGAAGGCTATATTGCATCTGAAGTTAATGGTTCTTAGAACTGTTCTGCAAAGTTCTAGTGTCCTCAACCAGTGCATTTATGTATAGTAAGATATGAACGTAAACAAACAAAAGTAGAACATCATGAAGGAAATAATGTGTGTGTTCACTTTCTCAAAGAAAAGCATTAGTAGATGTCGGTTAAAACTTAACAAAATATGAAAACACAGAAGACCAGAATATTCCTTATATATGCATGCATGACTGTTCTTTCCTACAATTGCTCCATCAACCCAGCACTCTACTCTGGTATGAAAAAAAAAAACATATTTAGTTCATCAGTTGCAGGTAGTCCTTTCCCATGCTGCCATCGGTGGAGTAAACAAATCAACGGTGGCCCGTTTTGCAGGCAAGTGTCATTGGCCTAGGAAGTGCAACAATCATTAGTCAGCAAACACACCAGTCAGCGTCGGCTATACAAGATCAACGTGGAGCTATGCCTGGATGGCAGTGTTTGCTTGTTGGCGATGTGAGCCTGTGTGGTAGTTGGCTAGCACAGAGCCACATTGGCTATGGGGAGAAATCATAGTCTAAGAATTCTTAACCTCTTTGGAAGATATTGCTACGTTATTTTCTTATCAATCTATGTGTTCACTTATGCACACCACCGTCACCGCTCAATCGAACAAATATGAACACTTATCTGGATAGTTACTCGGATATCCGGTTTTTTTCGGATACGGATACTAAAACGGATATCTTAGGCGGATATCAAATACGGATGTAATATCATCGATATCCGGCGGATCCTAAGTCTATCCGGATATTTAAAAACGGATATTATCCGGATATTTATTCAAAATTTAAAAATCCTTTGAACCATCCAAACTATCTCAAATGGAAAGTTGACCAAAACAACAATTGTAGATCTTGATGAGTTGAACAAACTTGGTATTCAAAACTTTTCAATTTGAAGTCATTTAGAGTTCATAATACTAAAAGTGTTGTTTTTTTCATTTGACCAAATTTAACCAAACTTGCTCAAATGAGACACTAAATGGCCTCAGATGAAAAAACTCTGAATACCAAGTTTGATCATCTCAGCAAGATCTACAATTGTTACATAGCTCATTTTCACATTTGAGAAAGTTTTATCAAACACTAGTCATAAATTCTTGAATCTCATATAGACTTTCTCAAACTATGTCACACACTTTGTGAAATTTGAACTATATTTTGTTCAAACTTTCTCAAATGAAAAAATGGCCTATATAAGGATTGTATATCTTGATGAGATGAACAAATTTGATTTTTTCAATTTGAGACAATCTAGGGTTCGTTTGTATTTTTTTCATAAATTTGAACCGTCCAAACTATCTCAAATGGAAAGTTGACCAAAACAAAAATTGTAGATCTTGATGATGGAAAACTTTTCAATTTGCATTTAGCCCTAGAGTCAAAATATTGTTTTCATTTGACCAAATTTGACTTGGTCAAACTTGCTCAAATGAGACACTAAATGACCTCAGATGAAAAAACTCTGAATACCAAGTTTGATCATCTCAGAAGATATACAATTGTTACATAGATCATTTTCCCATTTGAGAAAGTTTTATCAAACACTAGTCACAAATTCTTAAATCTCATACGAGACTTTCTAAAAACCGTCACACACTTGTGAAATTTGAACTACATTTTGTTCAAACTTTCTCAAAATGAAAAATGGCCTATATAAGGATTGTAGATCTTGAATCTATGACCATGACTCCATGAGACCCATGAAGCAATGTGTTCAAGCTATTTCTACTCATGCCGCAAGATTGGTGCTTATATGATGTTTGATGTATGATGTATCCACCTTTCTTCTTATTTGTTGCTTTACTCTTTAGTCTTTTGGTTTAATCTAGATGGATTATGGACTCATAGAGTGGTGTAATGGTTTGCACACGTATGATATATATATATATATGCCCCTTTTATCAATATCCGAATAGATATTTGTATCCGCGGCTCAATCACTATTCATACCGTATTCGATACTCATTATTCGTATACACAATCCGTGACCCGACATATCCGAAAACCAAACAGAAATATGAAAACAAATATAATTTTGATATCCTCGGGTCACTCCGCTTTCATCCCTAACCCCACATATAAACCAAAAAGAAACCCGTGGGGAGGCCTTGGGCACCTCCCAAAAATTGCTCTACTAAGGGGGAAGGTTTTAGTCTCAAATCCTTAGGTGGAGAGGTTGTAAAAGATAAGAAAATGCTATTCCATACTTTTTTTGAAGTTTTAATGGTTGGTTAGTGAGTAATTAGAGTTTTGTTTTTCTCTCTCTTCTATGGTGCTTGAGCTACTTATGAAGCAAATTAGACCCAAGTTTTAAATGTACTAGGGTAAATTAGGGAGGGAATAAGATTATACCCTTATTTGGTCCATGTTTCTTGATTTTAGTGAACAATTAGTTAGTTTTATGGATGTTTCATGTGCATGTGGATCTAGATCTAGGGTTTGGTTTTTTTATTAATTTCATTTTTGTAAATTTATGTTTGATGAAATTGGGCTAGGGTTTGTATGAAAGATATTCGGTAAAGTATAATTGTTGCTAATTGTTGTCTTTGGAATTGTTTATTATAATCGATAAATATGTATTTTAATTATTTATAGATAAATGGGCCATTAATTAATTTTCCTCTACCATGGTGTGTTTGTATGCTTCATGTAATTATATTAGATTTATATTCATATGTATCTGAAGTATATACAATTATTCTCAAGTAATTATTACTTTGATTTATTTTTATATATATCTGAATAAGTAGTCCTTTAATGTTTGTTTTGTTGTTGTTATAAAAGACGGAGTACAGGAACTCTTGGATGTATGGTTCGTTAAGGTTCAAGGCAGGTTTCCGTGAAGAGGTAGATAAATTTATTGAAGCCGCAAAGAAGCATGCAACGACATTGAAAGAGAATAAGGATACAATTATTTGCCCATGTAAAGATTGCAAGAACCATATGGCATGGACATATGTGACTATTATCATATTACATTTGATTATGCGAGGATTTGTTGAGGACGACATAGTGTGGATAACGACGAGGATGGGGAGGAATACGACGAGGATGAGGAGGAATACGACGACGAAACCATAGAATCCTTGTCCCAATATTCAGCAGAGCTTGATGCACGAATGGATTTCGAGTTTGGTAATGAACAAGGTGGTGATACTGGTGGTTGGGATGGTAACGACGAAGGTGGTGCCAATAATGATGATGGAGCACATGTCGGGGATGAAGATGATTTGGAGGACATGATTCGAGCCTTTGGACCAGAGATTTTACTAAATAGCCCGAAAGGTCTAGAAAATTTGGAAAGGGTGACAAAAGCATCGAAGGAGACTGTGTATGGTGTTGAAAAGGGTTGTCTGACACATTGGACATTGCTATGTTTTGTGCTTGAGCTGCTCATCCTGAAGGCTAAGTACGGCTAGTCGACTGTAGTTTCAAGATCTTGCCAGTAAACTAGACCAGGTAGAGACGAGGAAGGTGGTGCTAGGGCAATTCATTTGCTCCTCTATTACGATCTCCTCTCCTCATTTTTCTTTGGCTATGTCACTACTATAGAAACGAATTGTAGCAACGCCTCATTTTTCCAGTAGGGGCGGCTCACTCACCAGCTGCCCCTACAGTAGGTGTGTGCTCAGGACCCACCAAACCAATCGCCCCTAAAAATGGTTCAGTAGAGGCAGCCCCTACTAATGGGTCGATTTGTAGGGACGGCTGAGGTTTCCAACCGCCTCTACAAATTAGATTTGTACGGGCGGCTTAGGAACCGGTTGGGTGACGAATGGCCGGCTGTAGTAGTGCATGATCTGGTTAGTGGTGGCTTGCTCTGTGCAATGGCGTCCTAGATCGTGAATATCCAGGCGAATGCCTCCTCGATCTGGTCTTGGCAGTGCCCCTAATTGTGTTTATTGTCACGTGAGTTGGCTGGCCCAATCTACAAGTTGGGCTTGCGGGCGTAGCTACCTTAGTGTCGAAATGTGTTGTCAATGGACATGGAATTTGAGACCCTAACCTGATCCAGTTCTAGTGGTGACCGCTTCTTTGTCCATGTGGGTGGTGATGTCCATAGTGTCATTGTGGCTAGCTGCTAGAGGTCCATGACTGCAGCTTTGCATGGCAGCTGAGCACAATGCCAAGGTACATGGCCATGCCTGTGCACATCATGGTGGCGATGCCTCTGTGACAATATCTGCACCTCTTAGTGTTTCTCCCTACAATCCTAGAGGCTTGAGTCACCTTGAATTGATTCACGAAGTCTCTTACTTTGGTGAAGCATACATTGGGCATATACCAATCAGCTAGCTCATGACAAGGTCATCGTGGGAGTTGTATTATGATGGTTTGCATGTAGTGGAGTCCGTGTCGAATTGTTGTTAGTCAACGCTGGATGGTAAGGTAATGTTGGCTTGGAAAGAAGAGGAAGTAGCACTAAGGGACTTCGGGTTGGTGCTACTTGTTGGGTATTGAGTCCTCAACTCCGGGGAGGAATCCCTAGATTTTGCCTTAGATGGTTGTACCTACCAATGACCTTGCTCTGGGTATTGTTTAGAGTTTGTCGAATTTTCTCTAAGGTGAAAACCAATGGTATTGTCTTTCTTGGAGGCAACAATGGTGTGCATGCATGTCGTGTCCTTGGAGGCTTGTTTTGCGGAACCTCTCTTGGGCGAAGTGTTTCTATGGTGGCACAAGGGACTGAAGATTAAGTTGTGTGTTGTAGCCTACTGTGATTATATATATATATATATATCATGTCTTCCTTTTATTTTCCTTTTGTTTATTGTATGCTATGTGCATCTTAGTACGCAGAAGCTTGTTAAGCATAACGCCTCGCACCAAGGACATGTATAAATGGGTGTGGAAAAATTTTCATTTGAAGGAGGGAGGCCCCTATTTTTTAGTGCTATTACCATTTTTTAATGGATGGCAAAACGATTGAAGGAAGAAGTCGACTAGATTAGTCTTTCGTGTATACCCTTTTATATGTCATTTCATGTAAGTTGTCCTTCTTTTGTATTGGCCGCTATTTTTCTTCATAAACATTGTTAACATTATATTGATGGTCTTTTGACTGTCTTTGTAAAAAACTAAAGCTTCTTTCATTGTTCCTTATTTCATCGTTCTCCGCCTGTCACATTCATTTCTTTGGTTGGCGTTAGCTAGGAGATAGAGCATTTTAGCAACATACAGACAAACTATGTATCCACCTCGCTACTATATAGAGAAGCTAGTCTAGACAAAACCTAAGACCAAGGCGTGAGAGGAGCTAACACCCTAACTTTAGTCTAGCAGACCCAACACCTCAATCAAGATAAGATTTTTGATGTGATGTATTTCTTTCCTATGTATCACGCGATCCAAAATCTACTTATGCTTAGGCTCCCACCTAGAACGAACCCCACAAATGTATGCACTTCTCTTATACTTATGTTATTGCTTCGCATAAAGGGTCCATCCTAACATGCTAAGTTTGGAATGACAAGAATCATAAACTAGCCTAAACCTATTTTGCAACCTAGATTGTCCAATTGCAATACAACACAACACAACACATGGGCAATAGCGAGAAAAAATTAGAACAACAATTGGTCATGGTATTACATTCTCTCGTCATTTCCCTTGGCAGATCACTGCACTCACTCATGCACTGTGGGTAGCTTAGAATGTCATCTGTAATCTAGTCCAAAATACGCTTATAGCCCAACTTCCATATGGAATGAGGAGCATGTATATTTGTAGCAACTCTACAATTCCATCTTGGACTCATTTAAAGGGTTAATTTGGAGGTGCTACAATAAATATTATGTTAGTCCAAACATATTTAAACATCCAAGGTGGGAGTACTTCTAGCAGAACACAAAACATGGACCATAACACGATGAAACCAAAACACGAAACAAGGACCTTTAATCCTTTTATTTGCTAAACAACTCTGATCCAAGAAATCTTTTCACATGAGCCTCGAATTGTTCCTACTAGCCTTTAAAAGGAAGAAGTAGTTTGACCTAGGGTCTAGTGAATGTTTTCGCACATGGTATTATTTGAGAGGCAGAGGCCTTAAGGATCATGAAAAGGTCCTAAAGGCTATATGTATATAGGAGTGAATGAGAAGCACTACCACTAAATTCATCGAAGAATTTCATTCAATTGCACTTGAAGGTGGTTTGGAGGTGAACTCCCTAGTCTCGACCCGCTTTGCACAATGGAAAATATCCACCTCTTTGTGAAGAAAGAAATAAATGGCAGTAGAGAGTTGTTCTATTCATAGATTTTTGAGGCAGTGCACTATCCCTATAGGTGTTGTTTACGTGCTAAAAGGGTTTTAGATTCTTTAGATGGAACTCCTAGTCAATTTTTATTTTTCTTGAAAAAATATTGATCCTTAATGAGTGGCGAGCTAGAAACTCTTTTGTGTGATTAGATCAGAACAAAACCAAAGTCCTTCTTTTGGACCAAGGAAGTATAACAATGCTGCAACCTCAATAACTATTGGCTTGACACACGTATGTAAGGACAAACCTTCTCTTGATGGATCCCTTAATCTTAATTGTGCATGGCGACCTAACTTTCCTAAATAGATCCCTTAATCTCAATTGTACATGGGGATATAACTTTTCTAGATGGACTCATCAATTAAATTCGAATTGCTTTCTCTAGTCTTTTCCACGAATGATGCAGGAGAACTGTGTGTCATTTCATTAAGATAGAATAAAAGTACAATGAGTTCGTACAAGGACCAACCCGAGTACTAAACCCACACACCAACACCAAAGGAGCTTACAGATGTGCCACGAAACACACAAGACCACGACCGGATAAAACCCTAGCCTTGACAGCAGTGGTCAGCAAACTAGCAAGAAGTTCCTGGAGCTTAGAAGCTCTAGCCATGCCCCATAAACTACACTCATCCAGCACATTTCGAAGCAGATTAGAAGTCCAAGGCCTAGCATTATAAAAAACACAAGTGTTTCTATGCTTCCAGACTTCCCATGCTACCAAAATGATCAAGGAGTTAAGGCCTTTTTTATCTCCTTTGGCACAGACCTTATAGCTTTTCCCCACTATCTGGAGAAACAAACCTTTGAAACTGAGGGTGCATGGGAGGAAAGATTTAACAACTGAAAGATCAAGTGCCAAACCTACCTGGTAAAAGCACAACCAATCAAAAGGTGCAGAATGGTTTCCTCTTCTTGATCGCAAAAAGGACAGACGTCCGAGTGAGGCAGCCCTCTCGTGGCAAGTCGGTTAGCAGTCCAACACCTGTTGTTGATTGATAACCAAATAAAGAACTTGCAACAAAGAGGAGTCTAGCTTTTCTAAATCCTTTTTCCAAGAAGAAAGCTTTATGGTTCCAACCGAGAAGGCGGCATAGGCTAATTTGCTGCTATAAACTCTAGATTGAGTTAATTTCCACCTCACTTGATTAGGCACCTCTTGATTTAGAGCCACACCCTCCATTTGATCCCAAATATAAAGGTATTCAACCAGCAGCTGGACAGAAAGTGCCCCTCTGATACCATTCACCCAATACCGATTAAGAAGGGCCTAAGACACCGTTCGTCTATTGATCGTTCTCTTGGGAATGGCCTTGATCATATTAGGTGCTAACTCTAAAATGGTGTGGCCATTTAACCATAAGACCTTCCAAAAAAGAATGGTTTCACCACTTCCCATAATCGAATCCACTGCCACGTTGAACAAGGCATGAGCATTCTTGGGTACCTGAATTTAGAGCCTGACCTAAAGTCTGGTTGGGTCCATCATCTGAGCACACAATCAGCGAATTCTCAATGCCCAGCCAAATGTTTCCAAATTAAGAATCCCTAGACCTTCGTATTCTTGTGGCTGCTGGACCCTATCCTAAGAAACAAGGCAGTTACTGCCATTTGTGTGTTCTTGTCCTTCCCAAAGAAAACCCCTTCTTTTGTCAATGGCTTTGAGCAACCACTTAAGCAGATCCATATCCATATCATAGAGTAGATGGGAGTGGTCGTCAGCACCACCTGCACCATTACCAAATGACCAGCCCTCTTCATCAGAGAAGCCTTCCATCCAAGTAAGCAGTCTGACATTTTATCAATTAAAGGTAACAACACTTTCTTGGTGGGTTTATGAATTGAAAGAGGCAAGCCTAGATAGTTGCAAGGGAAATCCTTTACCGTGCAGGACAAAATCTTAGCAATGAGGAGCATCTCATCATGTGAACAATGAATGGGAGAAACTGAACTCTTGGACATATTAGTATGAAGACTAGAGACATGCCCAAATAGATTGAGGATGATCTTGATTACTTGCAGGTCCATCCTTACTGTGGCCTTAGAAAGATCATGACATCATCCGCATAAAAAAGAAGCATGTTATCTAGCCTCACGAATAGCCAATTTGAAGCAACTGTTTACGTGTTACGTGGTCCACCAAAGAGTTCAGAAAATCCATAACGAGAATAAATAACATGGGAGAGAGGGGTCTCCCTGTCGAAGGCCTTTATGATGAAGAATTGTATCCCTAGGTACCCCATTCACTAGAGTTTGAGTAAAAGATGTGGATAGGATCAGGCGTACCAAGTCACACCACCATCGTACAAACCCCAACTACTGCAAAAGACCAAGAAACTGAATCAAAGGCTTCTTGCACTCGGAGTCGAGCGTGTGGCAGCAAATGGAGTCAACGCTAGGTCCGGTGTGGAGCCAGGGCTTTCACTGCAACGTCCGCCGGCTCGGCCATGGCTACCACACTTGCCAGATGAGAGTCTAGGAGCGGAGCCATGGGCATACCGTCCCCTTCAGCCATACGAAGTCATTTCCTGTAGTAGGTTTTCATGCGGGCAACATCTCCGGTGTTCAACATAGCGCCCTGGACTGCGGCTGTCGCCGAACGGGTGGGGGTAAACCCTGGTGATGTGCTCAGCGCCGCCAGGATGGGAGCATGGATTGGGATGTCATCCAGTGATGGGGAAGCAATGAGGCCTCCACCGTTGCTGGCTTCAGCTGCCCGTCTTGGAAGAAGGGAACATATATAGACAGATAAGCTACATATAGGTATATGAATCATGCATGTATATGGTCTCAAA